TGTACTCCATGTATTAATTTTCTTTTTTATTTGATTTCATATTAAATATCATAAGCATTTCTCCTTGTTAACTATCCCTTGTTTTCACATATTTTCTTTTTTATCTTGTTTTTGTTTGCATTGGTGATGCATATCCACAACATTGCCTCAGTATTGGCGATGCACATAAAAATTTCAACCTGCCCAAAAGAAAATTCACTCTGCCCAAGGATAGAAAATGTTAGAGGCAACACTGGGGAGCCCAGGAGAGCCAGAAGGCAAGTATCAGTGGTACCAGGAACCGTCTCACAAGGTCATCTGTGACAGCGACCCGTCACGGGGAGTACTGGCAGATAAATTCTGAAGGCAAAAGGTTAGCTGAAAGATGAGAAAGGGAGGTTCTGCTGCATCTACCTGGGGTAAAGTTATTTTGCAATTGCAACCACATACTCTCTTAGTTCAATGAGAATACTTCTTTATGTAAACACAGACATCTGAAGCAATAGGAGCTGTCTGAAAGATTTCAGAGAGCCAAAGATATATTATAAAGTAAGGCTTTATAATTTTTTCCACAAGAGGCAATGCAATTGAAGTGCAGATTAGCATTTTATCACGCTTCATTTGCATACTCTCTTTCGTTCCGTTTTTGTGCTAGGGGTTTTTGCGCTAAAACAGGGAGTGTGGCTGTGGCTGTTTTGCGCAAAACCCCCTTTTTACACAATATCCTTATGGCTCTCAGGGACAGGCATAAGGATCTTGCAGAAAAAGGGGGTTTTGCGCAAAATGGCCACAGTCACTGCCTGTTTTAGTGCAAAAGCGGTGAGGAGTCCTGTGGCACCTTATAGACTAACCGAAGTGTTGGAACATAAGCTTTCATGGGCAAAGACCCACTTTGTCAGATGCATGTAGTGGAAATTTCCAGAGGTAGGTATAAATATGCAGGCCAGAATCAGTCTGGCGATGACGAGGTGGATCCAATCAGGGAGGATGAGGCCCACTTTTAGAAGGTGATCTGGAGGTGTGAATTCCAAGAGAGGAGAAGCTGCTTTTATAGTTAGCGAGCCATTCACAGTCTTTGTTTAATCCTGAGTTGATTGTGTCAAACTTGAAGATGAACTGTAGCTGAGCAGTTTCTCTTTGAAGTCTGGTCCTGAAGTTTTTTTGCTGCAGGATGGCTACCTTTAGATCTGCAATTGTGTGTCCAGGGAGATTGAAGTGTTCCCCTACAGGTTTTTGTATGTTGCCATTCCTAATATCTGATTTGTGTCCATTGATTCTTTTACGTAGGGACTGATGTGCATACTGTTTTAGTACAAAAACCCCTAGTGCAAAAACAGAATGAAAGAGAGTATGCAAATGAAGCGTGAGAAAATGCTAACCTGTGCTTCATTTGCATTGCCTCTTGCGAAAAAAGTCATAGTGTAGACAAAGCCCAAAAGCAGTATAAATTGATACTAACTTGATTACTTTCCAACAAGTATTCCATTCCTGCCTCCTAAGACTTTCCAAACTGTGAATATGTTTCAGACCATATATGGTCTGACTACAAGAGGTGTTGGTGACTGGAGAAGAGGTGGAGCGTAAATCTGGAGAACTTTCTAATCTATTCATTTAAGAAGGACATAAGCATTTACAGAACATTGATAAAGGAAGCAAAAGGAACACAAAATGAACACTAAGGACAGCAGACTTACAGATGATAACAAATTGTTTAAATCTACTAGTAATGAAAAGAATCCGCAGAAAAGAATGGGTCATTACTAGAGGGCAAAGGTAGAATTATCAATAATAATGCACAAAAGAAAGAAATGTTCAATAGGCATCGCTGCTCTGTATTTGAAAAAGAAACAACAGGTAATGTAATCATATTTATCAACTCTTTCTGTTCTGCTAATATCGTATGTGTAAGATAAACTGAAGTTAGACATTTCTAAATCAGCTGTTCCACATAACATGCATCCAAGAATTTTAATGGGTGAGGAGCTTGCAAGACGGCTAATATTAGTTTTCAAAGTCTTGGAACACCACAAAAGTTCCAGGAGACAGGAAGAAGGCTAATGTTGTGCCAAGGGTAAACAGGATTATCCAGGTAATTGTAGGCTTTTAGTCTGACATCAATCTTGGGTAAGATAATGGAGCAGATGATACAGGACTTGATTAATAAAGAAGTAAAGGAGGATAATATAATTATTTCCAATCAACATGGGTTTATGGAAAATTAATCCTGTCAAGCTAACCTGATATTTTTATGAGATTATCTTTGTCAACCAAACTTGTTACATGGATGTACTATACTTAGCCTTCAGTGAGTCATTTTATTTGATACCACAAGACATTTTGATTAAAGAACTAGAAGATATAAAATTAACATGGCACACATTAAATGGATTAAAAGATAATTAATGGATAGGACTCAAAATACAATTATAAACAAGGAATCATCACTTTAAAGGTGCATTTCCAATGAGGTTCTACAGGGATTAGTTTTTGTCCGTTCATTATTTAACATTTTTATTAATGGCCTGGAAGAAAAAAAGTTAGCACTGATACAGTTTGCAAATGACATAAAAATGATCAGAATGGTAAATAATGAAGAGGCCAGGTAATTCACACAAAGCAATCTGAATTGCCTGGTAAGCTGGACTCAGGGAAACAAAGACTGTAGGCTATATTTGCACAATGGGGGACAATTGATCTCACAATGGCTGTGAAGCAATGACGGCGTAAAAGATTTGGAGGTCATAGTCATTGATCAGCTAAACATGAACTTCCCATGCAATGTTGTGGCCAAATACACCAAAAGGAAATCTCAAGTAGGATTTTTTGACAACGGTGTGACCATTGCTAAAATGTCCACAGTTCAAGAAGGATATAGATAAATTAGGGGAGGGTTTAGAGAAGAGCCATAAGAATGGTTAAAAGATCATGCCTTAGGGTGACAGACTCAAAGAGCTCAATCTACTTAAACAGAAAAAAGGTCCAGGAGTGACTTGATTACAATGTAAGGGTATGTCTATTAGGGATGTAAAACTTCGTTTAAAAATATAACCATGTAGTAACCACTAAAAATCTCAGCAGTTACATGGTTACATGCACTGTGGGCTCTGCAGTATAAAGCTGCAATAAGCTTTACTGAAGAAGAGGGAAGAGGCTTTGCTGCCACTGCAAAGTTGCATCCCCAGGAGTGGGACCAGCAGGAGCTGCTGCCGGCCCCACTCCTGGGGAGCCAGCGTGTAACCTTTGGTGGAGGGGGGAGGCAGCCTGGCAGGGTCACAGTCAGGAACTGCTCTGGTGGGCCCCACGGGCTTGGAGCAGCCCCGTGCCTGGGATGGTCGGGGAACTCCTACTGCCTCTACTGGTTACTGGAACCGATAAGCTTCATCCTTAATGGGTGAAGTTAACCAGTTAACCAGTTAACCTTTTATACTCATAATGTCTACACTACACAGCTTTTAGCGACAAGGCTGTGTCAACAGAGCCCTGTTGCTAAAAGTCAGCACGTGTGAATGCTGTTTGTTGGTCAACAAAATACCTCTGACCCCTAAAAGGGGGGTTCATTTTTGTCAGCAGCAGAGTGCTCCTTCTGACAATGCAGTGTTCACACTTTTACTTGCCATGGCAAAACTTTGGCGTTCGTGGGATTTTTAAAGCACCTGAGAATGACAAAAGTTTTGTTGATCAAGTGTAGACACAGCCTAAGTAACTACGTAGAGAATGAATATTCAATAATGGGCTTTTTAATCCAATAAAAGTACAACATGATCCTATGGATAGACTTGGAAGCTAGACAGACTGAGACTGGAAATGAGTGTATTTTTACAGTGAGAATAATTAACCATTAGAACAATTTACAAAGGATTGTAGTAGATTCTCCATCACTGGCAATTTTTCAGTTAAAATTGGATGTTCTTCTAAATGATACACTTTTAGAATTATTTAGGGGAGGTCAGACTAGATGATCACAATGGTTCCTTCTGGCCTTAGCTTCTATGAATCTTCTCTCTGAACTACAAAAAATATGATAATTAGATTATATCCTAGAGTGACTTCTATTCATGTAAAGACACGCCACTGTGCGTTATAATGAAAGAATTAGAGTCTATGGTCTTTTCAATAAAATAAGATTTAGATTCATGTGTATTTGATTACTTTTCCACTTGGCCTCTGTTAGAAGGAGGTCATCAGACTAGATGATCATAATGGTCCCTTCTGGCCTTAATCTGTGAATCTATGCTTTATATTGCAGCATACCTTATCTAGGCTGTTGTGAATCTAAAATCTTCAGTTGCCAGCATTCCCTAATGCTTCTCTAGCTCAGTCTCCATAAACACACTGGCTCAAGTCACCATAAAATACTAAAAACAAAACGGCTTTACATTTTGCCATCAAGATCTACTATGTAAGGTAAATTTACCTTTAATTTACTCCACATTGCAACTACTTAACATAGGGGAAGAAGCAGCACAAATTCTGCTTCTGAAAACCCCGCTTTGCATCAAAAAAGAAAATTAGACACAATAGTCCCCCTGCTGTGCACACCTCTTATTTGCATTTCAAAAAAGTGGCACTATTTTTTGGATACCTTCCATTGCCACTTTTACCTCCTTTGCCTAATATATACCTTTCATCCTTGAAGCCTAGTGAAATATTTCTTTATTTTAAGTCCTGTATTTTATCTGTCAAAGCCAAATGAACTCAGAAATGTTAATCTTCTTTAAATGCAGGATGCCTTATTCTCTAAACTAAATGATGTAAATATTTGTAACCAATGTAATCTATTTCAGCTGTGACAACAGTACAATCTGATAAACACAGCATAGTTCCCAGAGATCAATAGAAGTCTGTAAATATTAGGCACAAATAAAATATATCCTATTATATACTGGCTGAGCTTTGACTAACAGGAAAGGCTTGCAAAGGAACCTTGTGGGAACAACAGGATTCTAATGGTTTGTTCACCAGGGATACAATGTCAAATTCTGAGAAGGGAAGGCAAGAGGCATTAGGGAGCCTATACATACCCATCTGCATGGCACTGCGTGTCTGGCTGACCATTTGCTGGGCTGAATACCTCATGCAGTTATTCATCTGAGGAGATGCTGTCTGTTGTTGGGGATGTGTCTGAGGTGCAGTGATTGGAACAACAGGTCTGACAGCAGAGGTTGGGTTTGTGAGGCTTGCCCCTCCTGGGTGAACAGCTCCTGGGGATCCTTTTATTGTCTGAGCCCCACGTGATAAGCTATTCCTGGGTTGACCACCTCCTATAGGCACTCTAAAGAGAAAGGAAGTGTAATGTGAAAACTCTGTTAAGACATATAGTTACTCATCTATTGCAATGATTGCTATAAATTACCAGAAGTTCCCTAAAGTGAGACATGATACAAATTAAGGTATTCAAATGAAGTTTAAAGTTAAGTCTTATATGTTTGTTTATATTTCCTAGAAAAATATGTATTTTGGTGGAATTTTGCTCTTTTTCCTCTGCCCCACTTTTCCCCACTCCTTTAACTTGTCTGAAGTCTAAAATTTCTGCTTTAATTTATTCTAATAGACATCTACATATTATTAGCTAAATTCAAAAGAAAAGGATGTTGCTAAAATGATGTTTTGTACAGTAACGCTATTTTTGCAGGTTGCAAAGGACAAATAATTAAAATGAGCAACGAAAATATTAATATAGAGCTTAAGCAAATTTGCAAATCCTTGCAAATTTCTGTGAAAAAAAAAAAGATGGGAAGCATTAAATCCCTGCAGTATGCCTGTTGAATCAGAGTGGTGATGTTCAGGTTTGGAGTGGGAGCCCAAAAACAGCTGGATTGGTTGGCTTTCGATTTTCCTATGAACATGGGCAGTTGGTGCAACTAGGACTGGGGGAGGCAGGTCCCAGCACCACCTACAGCCCCACTTCACCTGCTGAGGCCCCGCTCACCCTCTACTACAAGGAGAGGAGGTGGGGCACCCTGCTGAGTGTGCACCCCTCTCCCATGGGGAGGGAGGAGGCCACACAACCTGAGTCTCCCTGGCCCCGGAGCACTGGGGAGGGAGGAGGTGTGTATCCCCAGCCTCCCTGGCCCTGGAGCATGGGAAGGTTGGGTGCTGGGGGCAGCAACACTCTATCCCCAAAACACCTACAGCAGGCATTCTGGGGTCAGAGTGTGGGAGGGGCCATGCCTGGCGGTTTGGGAATTCAAAGCCTTCCCCCGCCTAGGCTACCGGACACCCATGCATATGAACCTTTCACCCAATTCTAATTCAGAAGCACAATAAATGAGCCCAGAGGCGTTGTGAGTTTAACTGACCTTACTTGGAAGGGAGATCTGTTTAAAAAACGAACATGACACCCACCAACAGCCCTAACAGCTCACCTGCACTGAACATATTCTCTTACCTGCTTGGCCCTGGAGATTTTTTTTTATTACCCATGATGTCTGGGCAAGCAGAGAAAAGAGGATGAAGGACTTAAGACTGTTTCATTATGCAGCCAGCGCATCAGAGCCCGGTTCTCCTGCTGACCAAAGTCTACACTACAGACTTGCATCAGTTTAGCTATTTTACTCAGAGGTGTAACAATTCATACCCCTGAGCAATGTAGCTAGGCCATCCTATCCCTTGGTGTAGAAAGGACTATGTCAACATAGCAACCACCTCTCGCGGAAGCATATTAACGACATCAACAGAAGCAACTCTCCTTTCAGTGTAGAAGTGTCTTCACTAAAGTGAACCTACAGCTGCAACTTTTTAGTGTAGACCTGTCCTGAGTCTCATTCTTTCCCTCCACTGACCCCAGTAACTCTGCAGTCAGCAGGGGTGAAAATGCTGCACAGATGCCAGCTGTCTATTTGCTCTGACATCGATATTTATAGCGTGTTCTCCTCAGCCATCCAATTGTCTGGTCTTCCTTCCCAGCAGGAAGTGCAGTGAAACAGAGCAATCAGCTTTGTTACTATTCTGTTCTCATTGCTCTCTCCTGTCCACTTTAGTGCACGGTGATCCAGAAGAGAGGAGAGAGAAGAAGGTAAAGGGAAGAATATGAGGAGATGACACATGAGGGCAGAGAGAACTAACAGGATTGGAGATAATGGAGTGAGAAAATAAGCTCAGGGGAGAGGAGATAATGGAGGGTAACTAAGGCTTTGTCTACACTTCTGGCCACATCAGCACTTTAACACAGCAGTTTGGTAATGGTACCAGCCCTGGGAGAGATCTCTCCCAATCTGTAAGTAAACTACCTCCACAAGGGGAGTAGCTAATAGCACTGGGAGTTTATTTACACTGACACAGTGCTGTAACTTGCTGTGCGGAGGGTGTGTGGTGTGGTGGGTGTGTGTGTGTGGGGGGGGGGTAAAGTTACAGCACAATAAAGTGGCAGAGTAGACAAGCCGAAAGACCAAGATGTAGCAGGCTGGATGGGTGAAAGGACTTAGAGAGAGAAATAGTTTATATGTAATGGGGCAGAGAGAGGGGAAAGGAGGAGAGAGGAAAAACATTGACCATACAAATTAGATAAAGTGAAAGGTCAAACCAGAGAAGAAAATCTTAAGTCCTAAGGAAAGCGAGTGAAAGGGGAAAACAATTAAAAAGGAATAAATCCGAGGGAAAGTATGTAAAAATACTAATGAGAGGATGCAACAAGATAGTCAAAATGTGAATACAGGAAGAGAAGGAAGAAAAATAATAGAAATATAGATTCCTACATGTTTTCACTTTGTATAAAATGTGTTTTTTTATGTTGTTTTGAACCCATCATCATGATGGTGTATTTGTTTCCCCCCCAAACTGGAAAATCATGAATATTTCCCCCACTTCCAGACAACAAAGGGGTTACACACTGTTTGTCCTTTTGCTTTCTATAGGTCACCCTCAGGGACTCTGTGAAAGTTGATGAATAGCCAGGAATGAGTAGGAAATGAGAAAGAACTGGCTAAATCACCTGCAATAGGCTTTATTCACCAATAAAGCAACATGCACACCTCTGTGCTCACAAGCAGAGAGACACCCCTGCATATTTAAAATTGCAGCTGGGGAATCCCATAGGAACCCACCAGGAGTGAGAGCCTGAGAGATGCTTGAAACTAGTACATTTCCTGGGTAGCCGTTCCTGTCCCCTCCCACAACTGACTGTGAACAGCCCTCCCTCTCCCCACCCTGCATGGTCTTGTTTTGCTGGTTGAAGGAAAAGAAAACAGGTAAATCAAAGACTATGACAAATGGGAGAGTTTGTTTTTTATCATATTTTTCTTGCTGTTTTCACTTAAGGTACTGCATATGTAAACAGACTGTTTTAATTACATGTTCATTTTCAATGGATCATAAAATTAACCATACAACAACTCATGTGGTGCAGAAAGCATTTTTGCCTTTTAGCACTTTTCAGTGTCTTGTTCTAGTTATGACATGCTGCATTTAGCAAAGTCTTGCTGATCTGGATCACCAATACCACGGCATGAACCATTCACTTGTTAAGAGCTAAAGAGTCAAGTACCGCAGGCAGTCAAGTTGCTGTATAAAAATCAGGAAAAGAAATTTAGCTTGGTGAATAATTCAGGCATTACAAAGCTGCAGTGTTAATTCTTTTGTCACTGAAATGTAACCTTGGAATGTCAACTAGACGACAGGTGTGGCAAAGTGAAAACAATGTTACAATTATTCAGAGTGCAAACCGTTTTGGTTTTTTTTCCCAGTTCAGGTTCTGATTTGATTGCAGTCAGTGAGATGGGTTTAGGTCTGCTTCAAGTCATCAAAAAACCCCAAACAATGGTTCAGATATTGGTTTGAACCAATTTGGATTAAATATCAATCTTGGTGTAAATTCTAAAAAGAAAATTAAAACTTAAAATTGACAGTATTTTGTTTTTTGGACATTTATTTTTCATTTTATATGAGATTTCTTAGTGGTTTTGTGCTGTCAAATAAACACAATGTTTTGAAGAAATTGAGCACAATAAAATAATACCTTCTAATATTTATTCTCTCATATTGGACTTCTGTGGTGAAAGGATAAATTTGAGTTTGGAGGCTGGGCCCTGCCTCAAGTGGGGCAAGTAGTAGGAGTAGATATCTCAGGCATTGGAGATGGGTCAGAGGAGGACTGCCCAAGGGGCAGGAGGGTTGGGGAATCACTACCTTTTCCATCTGGTTTATAGAGTTATGGTTAACTTCTGGGATCAAGGAGAATTCCACCTCTTCCCTCCCCAGGAACAATCACAAAGATTGTTCATCTGTTTCTGGGTCCCACTGCTGCCTGATGTGATATACAGGCTGCTCCCAAAATTTCCTTTCTCCTCTCCTACTCTTGTGGGCTGGCTTCCTTCTATTTGCATGTTATTCTTTTCTTGTGACTCTAGAACCCCAGAGTTACAAACCCCACAGTAATGAACTCAATGGCCCCCTGAGGTCTCTTCCAACCCTATGATGCTAAGAACTGACCAGTTAACCACACACCTCTTTTGGAACTGGAAGTATGCAATCAGGCAGCATCAGGGACAAAACAAACAAACAAACAAAACAACCCCAACCCCCCCCAAACTAAAACACAGCATTTTTCTTCCATATAGTAAAGTTACTAAGTTGTATTGATTCCATGTTCAGCTGTAAAAATTTGAAAGAATGTTTTGTTCAGAGTTATTAACATGTCAGAGTTACAAACAACCTCAATTTCCGACGTTTTGTAACTCTAAGGCAGAGGGAGATGATGGGGGTGTTAACACTCGACCATAGCAAGTGGAGGCTCCTCCTTCTGCCTGCAGCTCCACACACCATCCCATGCTCCTTCTGGGGAAATAGTGAGGGCTTGCCCTGCCTCTCCCAGCACTGAGGAGCTGGGCCAGGGAATAGGGGCTTCCCTCACCTGCCTAGTACTCCTGCCAGGAAGTGGGGTCTGGACAAGGGGGCTTGCCCCTCTGCCTGCCAGGTGGAAGGGGCAGAGCAAGCCCCCACATACTGACCTCACTCCCCAGCAGAGGCACTGGATAGGCAGCTCAGATTGTGCCCATTTTTCCAAGGTACCCCAATTGGCTGGGAGGTCTCGGCATCGGCCATATTGGCTAATCCACCACCACTCTGAGGTTCTACTGTATACTGGGCAGGTCTTTCTAGCACTAATCACATGTCTACTTGTTATTTTGTTGTCTTGTTTGATAATGAAAAATGGTCACTATTGTTTTTTAGAATATTGATCTTAAAATTCCTGAATCTTTAACCATCAGTTCAGTTCCAATTCAGGTTCAGTAGGTAGGATAAAATTATTGTTCGGGGTTGGTGCTGATTCAAGTAAAAATATCAGTTCAAACTGGAACTTTGTTTGGTTCTGGTTTCACTCTATTTATTATGTTTGCCTTTACAATTTATGCTTGTCTTTAATTTTGTCTGTACCACATACCGTACATTGCATGTAAACCAGGAGGGATCATATCTGAAACCAGCTTCCAGGTTTTCTACAAAATGCTGTTAGAAAAAAACCTTTGTTTTGGAATTGCAAAACAAAACTCTCACCAATGAAATATTGCAAAATCCAAAACTATGTTTTGTTTCACTCCATTCTATTTCTGAAACACAGATAGATGTAGCAAACTCACCTTCCACATCTGAACTTTGGGAATTTCTGATAAAATGAATCTCAATTTAAAAGGACCCTGCAGTTTTGGTTTCATAAAACCCAAAATACAAATGATGAGGTATTAAAACACGAAACATAATCTCTCCTTATTTTGCTCATCTCTATTAGTTCCTTTTTTTAATATGGGCTCCATAGCCCATAGGTTCTTTACAATAATGGGACAGGCAATCCAGTGAAATATAGTAATTTTAAGCTATTAATATCTCTTGAAAAAGTGAATAATTCTAAAACCAAAATCAACAATCCAAGATACCAGAGATCCTAATGGTAGAAAATTGCCATTAGAATTGCTTTTGGGGATGAGTGTGTAATTTAACACTAAATCTACCCATTTTTTCATTTTTCTTTAGAAGTTGGAACCTATTAATAAGCTCTGGCCAATGGTTCTCACCTGGAAACAGGAGTCACATAGTTGCCTGGAAAGACTCCAGACATTCCAGTTCTCAGAGATGTCCCCTTAAACCAGCCATCCTGACACTTCTCAATGACCCGATACATTTCACCTTTACGCAGCTCCAACTCATCATTCTTCTGAGGCTTGTATGCATACAGAGCTAAGTAGCTGCAGGGAAAAGTTACACACATGCTGAGCAAATAGTTGATGTCAAAAATAAGTGATGTTCAGGTTCTTATTTCAGTCTAACAATGTAGGAAAGCCCTGTGAGACAAATGATGCTCAGAAACGATGACTCAATTGGGGGAGGGATGTCAACATGTAGATGACTACATGATTAACCAATAAGCCAGTGCAGCAAGTAGGGGGTGGTAGTGGGAGCTGGTGACAATGGGGAGCCAGCTTTAATCCAGCTTCCCATGAGCACAGGCCCCACCAGCCCTGGTGGTACTGTCTCTGATGGAGAGGCAGTAGTGCAGAGAGTGAGGGAAGCAGGTTGGAGCAGATACATGTGTGGAGCCGGCATTTAAGCTGGCTCTGCAGACCCACCTGCTCCCCTATTGCTGCTTGCTCCCTCTCTGCCCCCCCGGTGCAGCTGTCTCTTTCAAAAGCAGCAGTGTGGTCGGGGGCGGAGGGGGACAGCGGAGGCAGCTGTGAAGCAGCCTCTGTCTGCTGAGAGACTGGGCGTACTGCAGACAGAGGCTGCTCCGCGACAGGAGGCCCATCTGTAGGGGGGGGTCCAAGCTTGGACCCCCCGCAGACAGAGGCTGCTTGCTGTATCAGAGGTATCAGCATGGGGCAGCAGCAGGAACTGGCCTGTGAGGGGAGCACACAATGCACAACTAGCCAGCAGCACTCACTACCACTAAGCAGCATTGAAGCCAAAATTTTAGCAGGATTCATAAATGGATTAAATATACATACGGGTAGCAAGAATGTCCAGAATTACAATAGTAAGGAGTTTTTAAAAGCCTACTGTTTGGGGAGGATGTAAATTAGCATGCTCCAGCCCTCTGTGTGTGGATAAGATAATATTTTAACAATGGTCTTCAGGCCAAACCATTCCCCTACTTAGTCAACACTCCCATTAAAATCAGTGGTAATTTCTCTACAGCAAAGATTTAAAGCTAGTCCTATGTTTTTTGTATGCATTATGCTTATAATCTTAGTTTTTATTTCAATTTGCACAAGTTAATCTTGATTTCAATATCCATAACTTTTTATATATTTGAATTATACTTTTATTTATTCTCTTTGTTTAGGATCCTTCCTTTCATCTCTCTTTTGCTCATGCTTGATTACTTCAGGGACATGACTCAGGCTATGAAATACTATAACTTATGGCTGCTAAAATTAGTCCCAATGTTTGGGGAGATACTTGTTGAAAATTCAGAATGATTGCTTATAGTTTAGTGGATAGCTAGAAAGCTTGTTAAGGAAAAACAATAAGAACAACCTCCGCTCAGCAACTTCTATCTTATAAACAAATCAAGATTTTTTGACACTATTCCCTTGCCTCCCTTACAAAAGGAAATTTCCAACCACCCATGTTTATAATTGCTCATTCCTAAATGTTGTTTTGAAGGCAAATACAGAAGGACTAGAATAAGAAGGTAAATTCTATACAAATGTAGCAGAATCTCCTCATATTGAAGAAAGCTTAAAAAGGGCTCAGTACATAACCTCGTAGCAGAGAAACAAAGAAAAAGTGAAAACTATAACCACAGTGATTGCAGATCTGCAACCAATAAAAATGATGCTTGGCTTTTTTACTTCTAGTCTTTAGGAATATGATGGAAGAATAAAGTCTATGGCTACGTCTACATTGGCATCCCTTTCCAGAAAAGGGATGCTAATGAGACGAGTTGGAATTGCAAATCCGTGGGGGATTTAAATATCCCCCGCGGCATTTGCATTTACAAGGCTGCCGCTTTTTTCCAGCTCGGGGATAAGCCGGAGAAAAGCGCCAGTCTAGACGCGATTCTCCGGAAAATAAGACCTTTTCCGGAGGATTTCTTATTCCTACTTGCAATTCCGACTCGTTGCATTAGCATCCCTTTTCTGGAAAGGGATGCCAATGTAGACGTAGCCTATTAGTTTTCTTATTCTATTCCTTTACATTACCTCCAAGTATATATAATATTTGATAACAGTTCCTCAGAGCATGCTTAGGCTCATATACTTGGCTCCATTCACCATGTGCATATGATATAGTTATATTTCATTAGTCAACAGACAAGAGAAACCATTCTGTGTATTTTTTTTGTTTGGTTTGTATAACCAGGCAGCAATGATCAGGTTAGTTGTTGCTCATCTCACCGAAAACATGAGGCTGCATAGGAACTGAAGAACATTGACATGCATGTGCCTGACATGAAACAGTGCTACATGCTCAGTGCTTATGCCTTGTCATCACAGTGCTCTGTGAGGGTACAATGGTGAGTGTGTGGCTGTACAACTTGGGACCAGAAAGCATCACTTATCTCTGGTTAGTACTTTTTTAGGTCTTTATATTATTAGCCCAATTCAGAGTCTCTTGTAGCCTGTCTTAGACCTTCTTACCCTTTTTGTCCAGTACAGTAAAACTCCAGTGGTCCGGCATCCAATGGTCTGGCACTCCTGATGGTCCAGCACCATCTGGAACCCGGAAGTGCTCCGGGCAGCCAGACAATTGGAGCTGCGCTGCCCCCGGCTTTCCCGATTCAGTCGCTGCTGAAACTGACCAGCGGCTGACTTGGGGAAGCTGGAGACAGAGCAGCTGGGGTGCTGCCGAGTTGGTCCCGCAGCGCTGAGGGGTGCATCCCCCCCACTCCACCCCAGACCCTTCATAGCCCCCCCTTCCTATAGTCCTGCATATCTGATAATCCGGCTCCCCCTGGGTCCTAAAGGATTATCGGAAGTTTACTGTACTTGACTTGGGCTAGAACGCTCCAGAAAGCTGTTCCTACACTTTGTTTGGTACTGATGCCAAAAGCTTGCAGAATTCATAAAAGGATTACACATGCACATGGACACCAAGCATGTCTAGAGTTACAATAGTAAGGGTTTTAAAAAAACCACAAATATTTTGAAAAAATATACATAAATTCTCATGCTTCAGAGCATGAGGAGCAAGCCTGTTATGGTCTTACTGATAACTGTATCTTGGCACCTCTGGGTTGTGATTTGACCTAAGATATTCTTCTTGTTGAAATTGTGAATTCTGGAACTTTTTTTGTAAGGACTTAAGTACCAATTTTATCCGCAGGTAAGGGAATCTTCCCTGACTGAGAAGAACTAGACTAGGGCACTAAGCATCTGAAAAGGTAGGAAAAAGAGTTGCCCCAATATATATCATCACATTAATATCACAATTCCACAGAGTGATTGCAGACTATTGATATGATTCTCTCATCAGAACCTCAGAACAATGAATGATGTTTTGTATCCTCTAAGCTTTAGTACCTAATTGTCACAGAATGGGTTTACTAAGGGCTAGATTTCATGCGTTTTGAATTTCCCATTCTATTTAAAGCAGATCTGTAATCTCATTTTACATGTTTGTGTGTGAGAATTTCAACTACTGTTTTAGGATATTATACACATACATATATGCATTTTTAGGTTCAGTTGGGTCTTCCTATATTTTATTAGATGAAGGGGTTCAGTAATTTAATAAATAGGTACCCAATATATTCAATGGTCTAGGAGAGAATTATTGTAATGGATCCTATCACTCTTTTACTCCATCTAATGTTCCATTTGATGTCTTTGTTTATTGTACAGAAGAATGTGATTGGACTGTTTTTATGGCTAGCCACAGTTCATCTGAATGATGATTGTTTCAGTGGTTTCAGTGTATGGAAATATGCCTTCCTAAAGCCTTAAATTTAAGGGAGCTGGGTTTCTCTAACAGATAGGCACTTAATTTGCTTCACAATGATTCATACAGCTGTAATAAATATTATGGAAGCTAAAAATAAAATACTGTATAAAGAAAGGTGACCTGGTCTTTCACTGTTCATTTTTCAACTTCAACAGAAGGTTAGAGATAACTGTATTCAAAGAGCTATTGCTTTGAGAAGTCTCTTTTAAATTAAAAAAAAAAAAAAAGAATCAAACCCACATGTGATTTGCAAAATGCCTGAGTGTGATTAAGATAAAGTGGCTGCTTACATATTGAGGGGAAGCTGGACTTTTGTTGGTGTTCCCTGATCTCCAACTATTGCACTTGTTCTGGGTCCAGCCACTGTAGCTGTTCCAATTGAGGAGGAATCCTGGAAACATAAAAATAAGAGACAAAAGAAGTGAAATATGCCATTTCCCTAAAACACAGGGTAAAATACATCTTTTGTTAGTTTCTGAGAAAAGCCTATTTCCCAGATTCACCCCCTTAACTTACGTTGTATGACATGGCATTTAGCCTCAGAAATTCTAAGAATATAAGTTCAGGCACGAGGGACACTAGCTTAACATTTCCATAGGCATGTCAGACTAGCTCAGCTGTGACGTGAATTTGAACCTTAAAACATTTACCAAAGCAAATCCACTTGGCTAGCTTAATATTTAATATTGACCAGTTCAATCTTTATGTCCCTGTAATGGTATCTATTTAATAAGAACATTTTTTCCCCAACTAGCTCATTTTCTTATCCCTAACACTTTGGTCAGGTATGCAGAGATTTCTTTAAAAATAGATCATTTTCACTCTGAAATATATGGGCCAAGTTAATATGAAATACTGGTGCCACCATGGTTTTTACCCACTTCTTATCTACAGTTATTTAGCTTCCACTATAAAAAAAATACACACTTGCTATCTGACAGGGCTAATGGCAGGAAATGCTTGAGCATCATTCAAAAACACAGCGTTAATATTCCACCCTTTGGGGCATGAAAAAAGCATTTAAGCCATTTTGAGACTAAGATCAAGAAACAGTGATGTTAAAAGCCAAGCATAACAAACTTAACTAATAAGGAGAAATAACTTAACTAGCTACTTTAAAAAAAAAAATCCACTTTATGGTCTCAGACCGAGGCCCACTGAAATTTCCAAGCTACAGTTCTATCAACTATTTGTCAATCAGTAAGTCACATTTATTTTTGTTTAAATAAAAGATTTATAGTCATACACAACTAAGGAAGTCAGATCTTTTTGTCTGGGCCAAGATTATTAATGTATCCACAGTTCTATAAAAGGCCTGCATAAGCTACTTTAAAAAAGAATCAGGAAATCCAGTTATAAGCACAATTGCCCCAAAAATGTTAACCCTTCTTCCTCCCCAAAGAAAATGAATGAATTTTTGTCTATATTTTCCACAGACAGCTTTGATTTTCTTGGAGAGGGGAGTCCCTGGCCACAGTGTACCATGAGAGATGCAGTCTGGATGACAAGCTAAGTCCATAAAAGGAGAATGAGGACATGGGGCAACCAAAGTACTATTCCCATAAGGCACTGCAGCAGCATTTCCAAACAAAAATGTTTGATAAAAATAATAAATAAACATTTTCCATGAAAAGGTAGCACTTTTCACACAACCTTCCTCTCCCCCCCCAAGAATAATATTTTATATTGAAAAATAGTTCTGGACAGCTCTAATTGTAACATCTGATTACAATACACTCAAAATGTGGAATGGGATGGGACTTAACTGTATTGCACAAGAGTCATGTAAACAGATTAACACCGTAGACACACTTTACATTGGGTAGCTCAGCTCATAATATCACCGAAGAAAACATTTACATTCAAAATAGATGGTATAATGAAAAATGTTTAAGGAGAATTTAAGGGAATTATAGTCATTCAAACATTGAGGAAAAGTGATTTGTGCACAGAGGGGGGAGCACAAGCACATTTCACTGTTCCGACACATGCCCCTTGGCGGGCAGCCAAAAGCATCCCATGTCCCGAGAGCTACTTTGACTCTCCACCACAGCTCTGCCTTCTCTCTGCACTGGTCAGTGGGACTGGATGGGTGTTCCAAGGGGATCATATTGCAGTATTCATAGGCTGGGCACAGTGAGTGTATTTTACCTGCAAGCTGGCCAGCTGCTGGGGGAAATGCTTCTCTTTAGGCATAGTCCCTCCCAGAACTTGCCTGGTAGGCAGAGACATCCCACCCACAGTCTGGCTTTACTAGGGTTGCCAGATGGTTTAACCAAAAATACTAACTTCCCCCCCCCCCCCCCAAAAAAAAAAAAAAAAAGACCCCGAGAGTTATTACACAAACAAACAAACAAACACAAATTTAAAAATAAAACAGCATTAAAATGGCATGGCCCATGGCCCTTTTAAGTGTGAGCAGATTCAGAGCAGGGAGAGGAAGAGGTTGAGCACTAAGACCCAGGGAAGGCATTGCTTCCCCTTGCTTGGGGTCTTTAGGCTGTTTGCTGGCAGCCATCTTGTTTTCTTGGACAGAAAGCAGCTTCCCTGAGGAACCAGGTAATCAGGGGGACCAGAGTCTGGGGGTGGGGGCTCCGGGGGCTGGGCCCAGTTGCTGAGTGTGTCCGAAGGGTTGCCAGGTGTCTGGTATTTTCATCTCCTGTCCGGTAAAAAAACAAAAAATACCCGACATTTTAGGTGTCCAGTATTTTCTGATTTTCTTTTACCGGACAGGAGGTGAAAATACCTGACTATCCAGGTTAATACCAGACACCTGGCAACCCTAGCTGTAGAAGGGATGGTTCTTGTATCTATATAGGCTCCTCCTCTGAAATAGCAACATTCTTCAAAAGACCCAGATCAGAAAGAAGTGGACATTGCAGGTAAGGGAGGAATAAATTCTCTGATGTTATATAAGTCTTCGTACACTGTAGTGTCTGACTGGTCCATTCATGGCAGTCACATGGTCCACAGAGGAACAAGTAAGTATTGATCTGCATCAGGGCTCACAGAGGCCTGGTCTATACTAGGACTTAGTCCAAAATAAGCCCCCGAATGTCAATTTTGTAAGCGATGCGTCCACACTACCAAGCCTGTTATTCAGGAATAAGGGGCCACGGAATTTGAACTCTGCACTCTTGATTTTCATGAGTAATAGTGCTATAACTGAACTTGTAAGTCTGAAATAACATTAGTGTTGATGTTCCAGTGCCACTAATTCAAACAAATTAGCTTCTGGGAGGCCTCCCATAGCTCCCCAGAGTGTTCCCTGGGGCGCTGAGTCCAAGGCAGTGTGTTCACATTAACAAAGCCTGCCTCAGACTACATTCGATTCTTCTCCATAACGAGGACATGGAACTTTGAATTTGTAAACTCAGGTGCCCAGAAGTCAAACTTAGTACATTTGAAATAATCTCCTAGTGTAGACCTGGCCGGACAGAACTGGCCATTCAATTAGTATCAGTAAGAAGTTCTCCCTCATAGGGTATAGTGGGATGTTTCAAATGCGTAGTTTGGTCATACATGTTGTGAAGTATAAAATAAATTTTAACTACTTCCTTCAGGTGCACATTCTACGCTTAAAACTTCTGTCAGGCATTTATTTGAGGAATTTGCTAATATGGGTAAATGAAAACAGTGTAGCAGTGCAGGAGCAGCTCACCAGAATGATCACAGGAACTTAGGGTGTTCCGCACTTTTGAAAACCAGTCTTCAGGTATCTCTTTAGAAACTGAGCATTATCCCACAAGAAGGTACAAGCCCCTTAGGTATTCCAAAACAGTACGGGTGGAAAAAATTGGGAGGGAAGAAAAAATAGATCTTGAAATAATTGGCTAGGTTTTGTCTCCCTTGAAATCCTTGGCACTCTAAACATTGGCAACAAATAAATAAAAAATTAACCAAAGGCTTATGTGTATCCATTTTTATTGCAAAGATAGTAAACAAATCATTATTTGCAGAGGTGGATGCGGATTTTCTGATGTATACTGGTGAGAGGAATTGCTAAGGTAATGCAGCCCCTTTCAAAAATCAGCATTACTGGGTTAATCTTTCTCTGAAAAAGAACAGAGGACAGCTGGGATAACAGAGAGAGGGCAATGTAAACTCTACAATACCGGAACACTGCATGTGGACTAGTGCACTATATTTTGAAAAAGTCTTGAGATTTGTGTTCAGAATTCAATGTCATGAATGCAAATGGGGTTAGTCTCTTATTAGAGTTCCAATTTATCTACATGAAAAAGCCACAGCTCAGTCTGGCGTAATTAATCATGATTGGCAACCTCGGCTCAAGAGATGACAAGAAATACAACAGCAGGTCTCATCTGAGGTGTCTTTGCAGAGTTGTGGCTTTAGTCAATGCAAATAAATGCTTCCTTTTATTGTATACAAAACATATTCACCATTCTTTAAAAAATTGTATGCTTCTACTTATTTCACTTATTGCTAATTATCCAGCATTCTTTGTCTCCAAGAAATTGTTCTTGTTGGTGAATAGCCATTTATATGACCAATAATTTGTGCATGCATGTTTGATGCAACCACGTGAGCAATGGCTCTACCCAAATGCATATTCAGGTAGGCTTTGTGTAGATTGCATCCCTTTTTCGTAAAAGGGATGCAAATTAAGTTTATGGGGAAACTTTGGGTCATGCATTGTGACAACCATAGCTTGGCTTACATGATGCAGAGTTTTTGCAGCTTACAAATATTCTGTATAGATTTACAAAAATTCCAGATGTTATTCAACAGATAATAAAAAATAGAGAAAAATTGAAAATGTTATTTTTACACACATACAGATTCATCTTAAGGCATATATTGCAGTTTAATTAAGAACTGTTAAGGTCACTTGCTAGACTATAGAAATTCATGTAACAATGACACTATAGCACCCTCATATTACATGCAGGCTGTGTCTACATTGGCATGATTTTTGCGCAAAAGCGTTTGCTTTTGCGCAAAAACATGCTGCCTGTCGACACTGGCGGGGAGTTCTTGCACAAGAACACTGACATTCTAATGTAAGAAATCAGTGCTTCTTGAGCAAGAACTATGATGCTCCCGCTCAGGAATAAGCCCTCTTGCACAAGTGTTCTTGCGCAAGAGGTCAGTGTAGACAGGCAACATGAATTTCTTGTGCAAGAAAGCCCGATGGCTAAAATGGCAATCGGAGCTTTCTTGCTCAAGAGAGCATCTACACTGGCACGGATGCTTTTGCACAAAAGCACATCTCTTGCGCAAAGGCACATGCCAGTGTAGACGCTCTCTTGCGCAAATACTTTAACGCAAAAACTCTTGCGTTAAAAGTATTTGCTCAAAATCATGCCAGTGTAGACGTAGCCACAATGTTTGTGTTAAGATGCTAGATCCATATATGATGTTGCTTCA